AAGATTATATTTTGTTGTGAAATCACTTGGAGCATTTACAACAAAATATTTCGTTGTCTTTCGTCACTTATTCACAACAAAAATAAATTTGTTGCCATTGTAAATGTATTTACTACAATTTTATATCGTAGCAAAAAGAAATACTCTTTTGCAACAATAAAGTTGTTGTCTTACATTATATTCGTTGTAAAATATATACGATACTATTCACGACAATATGTTTCGTTGCCTATGTGATTCAAAGGCAACAAAAATATCTTGTTACAAAAACGTTATTCTTTAACCACAAATACCATATTTTGTTGCTAAAGTATAACTATTGGCAACGGAATTCATTTCGTCGATAAAGAAATCGTTGCCTATTTTGCATTTTCTTGTAGTGTGTCTAATTCTTAAGTATATGACTTACAACGCATTACGAGTTCAAATGAAGAAACATAAAATATAAAAAGTAATTCTTGATCTACTTACTCATAACTCTTTTATAGATGTTTTTTTATAGATGTTGAGCTAGAGTTGGGCATGGGTCGGGTTGTGTAATTATCGGCCAAATATCTACCCGGTTCGATTACCTGATTTTACTGCGTATTGAAAACTATTATCGTCCCGACCGTTATGTATCGGATAATGAATGACAATCGACTTTATCTGATAAACAATATGTCGGCTGGATGTGTTATCGATCATTTATTTATTTATTATACAAAAATATTTAATCACTGGGACGAGAAAAATACTTGGGTTTGATTTATGCAATATATTATTTTAGTCATTTTACTTTGATATATGTCTAAAATACTTTTGTATGTTATCGGCCATTTTTCACCAATTTATCCATAGATGATTGGGACTAAGAAATTTTATGTAGGGGCATCTCTTATTCGAAAAAGAAGAGGACGTTAAGTAACATGGATGAAGCAGGATAAGACACGTGGTCCCGTCTATCAACTCAAGTATAGGACACGTGCAGATCAATCTGAACTTTATACAATAAAGTTTAAATATGTGTCCCAACCCATGAAAATCATCTGACAAACTGACATGCAATATTAAATATATGTATTTATAGAGTAATTTGAATAAAGGGTTAAATACACACCCAAACGATAGATCACTACCACTTAGTAAAGTTTATTTGTATAAAGTATCATTCGTAAAGTTTACCCCTCAAATTTAAATTAATTTGTAATTTAAATTCTAATACATGAATTTTTTTTCTTTTTATTTACAGAAATAACTAAAAATAATAATGATAAATTATACAAATAAAAATATCTATTGAAAAGTGCAATACTTAAAAATTTAAAAATATTATTTTGTGTTGGGTAAATATCTAATAAATAACATCTAATTGTTTTTGGGACAAGTAATCAAATATACTTGTATCGATAAATTTTAAGGAATCAATACATAACTAATAGTAATCTTAAGTATTTAAATATATTTTAGTTCATTTATTTCATAAATTATATTTCCATTCATTGTTATACAACACATATTACTTTTTATTTTTTTCCAATAATTTATTTTTTTAGTTACTTCTCCTTTTTTTATGATCCAATAATTATTAGATTGTTATGCTTATTAGTTTTTGAGTATTACATAAACTATACTTGATGGGTGCAAAGTGTATTTAACTCTTGAGTAAAAGATAATTGCATGGAGAGAATCGTAGTTAACTTAAAAACTAATAAAACGAAGAAGAATATTTGGATCATATTTACGCGTGCAAGAAGATTACACATTCGAAATAATTTTAGGGAAAATTGCTAAAAATCCATTGGAAATAATTTGTAACTAATAGTCCGTCCGGATATTTTGAATTTGCTAAAAATCAATCGGAACAAGTTAGAATAAAAAAGGATAGTTTATACTGATCATATACAACTTAGTTGTAGAATTTAGACTGCAAAATATATATTTTATACTGAAAATAGACAGTTTAGCTAGAGAATTTAGACTACCAATTAACATTTCAAAATGAAAATAACATTTTCAAATGATGTTGTGGCGAAAATTAGGCGGTCAGCGACATGGGACTACTCCGGAAGAGACATAATAGTGGAACAAATGTTATTTTTTTACAGTAAATATGGTTTTAAGGACGAACAAATTAGAGAATAATAAGATATTTTAATCTAAAATGATCATTTTCCATCTAAGTTGCCCGAAAACTTTTAACAAAATGTGAAAATATGACTGTTACGATTCGAAACGGAATTAGTGTTAAGGGGTATTTAACAAATTGCCCTGTAATTTAAACTCGTGTAGCACCTATAACACTAGATGGATATTACATAATGTATTACAATATAAGAGTAAAAGCCACAATTCATTTTTTCAAATGCAGATTAAAAATTAAAATTTCGAATTAACTAGATTAGATCACTACCCTACATTCTACTTTTGTTCTTCTCTTTATAAATTTTTTTTGGGATAAAACACCCCCAAAAAGGAAGGAGGAATTAAAATAAAATAAAAAAATAATAATAACAATAAAAGAAAAAGGATGTGAACAGGCAATGTGATGTAACACATGTTTTGGTTGTTCTCTGCAATTCATATCCACCGCGATGGATGGTCCCAAAAGTGCAATTTTTTTTTTGTTTTTTTGTTGCTTACTAAATATCGTCTTCTCATCACTCACTCACAATTATCTTCCTATTATCCACTCTCTCTCCTCTATCTTATTTTTATTATTATTATTTTTTTTTTTCAATATAAATAATACATTCAACAAACAAATAATCAACCATCCCACAAACAATAGTACACTGCTCAGTTCAGACTCCCGGTGAGCTTCCCACACCCTTTATTCTTCTCCAATTTTTTTTTTTTTTTTTGTTTAATCAGTTATATAAATTTATATATGTAATATATTTGACTATGAATATATATATAATTTGATTTGTCACAGGTTTGATTGAGTTTAAAGCTACCAATGCAAAAATTTGGTGTCCTTTATTTCAAGATCCAATAACAGATATTCTCTCTCTCTCATACAGGATACATCAACCACCAACAACTTTTCTGTTTCTCTCTCTCTCCTCTCTGTTTCTCTCTCATGGACTAAATGAAAAGACACCCCATGTACACGGGAAATCCGTTACCTGAAATTTGACTATTTCTATTTTGAGTTGTGGTGAATAACTAATCCTAGTTATTTTGTGTTTCTTTAATTAGTGTGTTTGCTCTGTTTTGTGTGATTAGCAAACTATGTGGCTGAAAGCTGTTCCATCCATTGTAGAGTGCTCCCACCATGGTTTTCTTCTTCCTCCTTCACCACCACCACCATTACCATTACCACCACCTCTTTCATCCAACCTTTTCCCCCGCACCAAAATTATTTCCACCACCACAAGAGGCCGTACTATTCGACGATCCTGCAGTTCGAATATCGACGGTGATATTTATCACGGCGATTCCCCGTTCAAGAACGTCGAACAATTACCCAAAGGCGGCCCCGCCGGATCACCCGATAGTAGTACTAACGAGGATCATCATCATCATCTTCAAGGCGGTACAATTAGCAACAACAAGAGGCATTGCTCTCTATCCAAGAACAATATTAATAGCCCTTTTACCGACGACAAACACATGAAGGATCGGGATTCGTTCCTTCATTCCCGATTCGATTTCTTGGAGCCTATGATGCTCGGTATCAAACCGGAGTTTCCCGATTGGTCCGATCGGGAGAGCGTTGTGATCGAACAAAAGGCAAAGAGTTTCGATATTCCGCTCTCCCTTAGAATGATAAAGAAGAAGTTACAATTGGAGGATGGGTTGTGCAGGGACACTTCCGATTGCTCGGTGAAGGCGGCTTTCGCCTCCATGGTTTTCATCATAGTCGAGCTACAAAGCCACGCCTTGCACATGAGGGAAGCGTTGTGCGACGAGGATTTAGACGTCATCAGTTCTAAGGTGCAGAAAGAAATGCACTCGTCTTTCGTTTGGCTATTCCAACAAGTGTTCTCCAAAACACCGGCTTTCATGCTCCAAGTAATGATCCTTTTGGCGGATTTCAGCGTTCATTCGGCGTCCAACAATATCCATCCCTCGACACCCTCTTTCGACGAAGAGAAACAAAGTCAATACCACCCTCCTCCGCGTATTGAAGAACAAACACAAATCGAAAAGACGAGCTCCTATATTGGAGGCGATAATCATACTAATGTGAAGGATTTGAATTTGTGGAGCTCGATGGTGGAAGATGCGTCGGAGATGATGAGAGAAGGAGATATCGAGGAGGAACTGGTGGTTCCGAAGCATTTCGTTGCGCCGGTGTGGGTTGAGATAGAACCGGATGATTACGAAGAATTTACCAGGACCGACCTTCTGTATCAAATGAACTTGTCCCTCCAACCTGATCATCCGCTCTTACTATGCAACTACGGTCAATTTCTTCACCGCGTTGCCCACGACCACGACAGGTGAATACACTACTCGAATCTTGATTAGCTTTTTCTGATTTAGTTTTTTTTTATTGATTGAGTGTTTCTATTGGTTTCTCCGGTACATGTTCGAAACTTTTGTTTAGATGAGATGAGAATATATGCATCTGTGCTCGTAAATCAGTTTACACTATTGTTATAGGCACCACACTATTGTTAGGAGAGTTGGTACCTAGTTTCTACTACTAGAGTACAGATCTAGGGTTCGAATAGTGCCCATTCAATCTATCTTGATTTGTAACACGATTTGAACTTTTACTTACAAAAAAACTAATCATATAGGCTTTTTGGGGGGCCATGGCCCCTCTGTCACCATATCCTAGCTCCACCATTGCTAGCCAATGATGATAGCAAAGTGAGGATGCTTGTCAATGTGTGGTTTATAAAAAAGAAAATTGTTGTCTGATTTTTCTTTTTTTTTGTTTTGTGTGTGATGTGCTGATTAACAGGGCGGAAGAATGCTTCAAACGGGCTGTACAATTGTCGCCAGGGGATGCAGAGTGTCTGAGCCGGTACGCAGACTTTTTGTGGATAGTGAGAGGCGAAGATACGATAGCAGAGGAAATGTTTCTAGAAGCAATGGCTATCGAGCAGCATAACTCCTACTATTATGCCATGTATGCTCGTTTCTTGTGGAGAACTGGCGGTGACGAAACATGTTTTCTTCTCAACCCGAACACTTAGGCTAAGTCGTTGTGCCATTCAAAGGTACTAGTTTATTACACAAATCCGAATAAACAAAACTCGTGGCTAAATTAGCAACACTTGGGAGATTCTTCCATTTGAGAAAAATTCGGTATACGCCCTCGAAGAAATTAAACCGGGTATCTTCGGAATACGGCAAAAATCATGTATGTATTATAGGGTAGCGACGAATAATGTTCGACACAAAAGGGGAGCCGAAGATGGTGAAATAAGGTAGGATAACAAGTATAAAAAAGAAAACCAGAAATAGGTTAAAGAACAGCAACAGCAAAATTTGCACCCTGAATATACCACATCCTCAAACTGTACAAAGGGTATAGGATTTTGCCTGCATTATTATTGTGTACCCAAAAGGTAACAATATTTGTATATTAATATTGCATGTTTTATGAGTTATTATGTATGCATCTCTTATTTTACTATGATATAATTAATTAAACTATATAACTGAGTCTTATTATTCCATGGGAATTATGAAAACACCTTTTGGTAGTAATACTCTTATTTTCTTTAAAAACTTCACATTGATTTGTTTCATATAATTTCAATGTAATTTGAAACATTTCAATCGAGATTTTAATAAAAAAAAAAAGTGATTTTTTAAATGATTTAAGTAATTTATTTATGGTCATTGTTTACCATGTTTTAATTTGAATCCCACAAACTGCATATCATCAAGGTTGTAGCTCTATTACAATATTTACAATTCAAAATTGGGTACATTACACCTACACCCATGATGTGTGTTAAAATAACTCTAAGATTCATTTAGTGTTGGTAATTACAACAACACCCATGAAACAGTTATCGGAGCCAAGATTTCATATCATGATGACCGATAAACACTATCTTGTTTTGCGTGGGGACATTAATGCTACAATAGACGAAAATTTATAAATGTTATATAAAGTAATAAGGATTTACAAAATGTTAGGAGAGCCATGTTACACTCTAGTTCTATGTTGTCTCGCCACTGCTTGAAACTAATAGTCCGTTATAACTCTAACGTAATAACTTATCCAATGTATTATTCTAACAATGTTTCATAGAGGTAATTGAAAGAATTCAATGCCTCCGAATTCATGTAATTTAAATATAACTTGTATAAAATCAGAGATCTTTAAACAAGATAAACAAAGAACTTGTGTTGAGAAATAATATGTAGCGAAAATAAATGACACAAGTTTGAAATCAATATCCACAAGTATATAACTTGTAGATGGTGCCTTCATAGGCGAAAAACAGTATTCAAAAGAATACAAATGAGAAGCCAAGATCTTCTATTATAAGAAGAAATAACTAGTTGATTTCCTCGTAAACCAATTCCTAGACTCTCTGATGATATTGTTGAGCAACACTCTAAGAATACAAATCGGTATTCAATGAGATTGAATACAAAACATACTCAATTATGTAGTGAGAAATTCACAAGGAAAACCGGGTGTTGTCGAAGATGTTAGCAACACCCGAAGCTCTGTGCTCTCAGTTCTCTGTAGAAAATGTGAGAGATGAATGAGTTCTCCTCCTACTTATAGAGTCCGAAAGCTCATTGCCCTGCATGAAATTAACACACTAGGAGAGATAATGAGTTAGTAGGATAATGGGTTAGTGGATTAATTAAAGGGCCAATTTGCTATAGGTCCCTCTATATTATAATTTATGTGTATAAATTCAAGTCAAAATCTCCATATTTTAATAAATTAATAATATTTAATGTGTCAAAAATACCCCTAGTCAAATCAAATCAAATCCCCTAAAAACCTCTGTATCAAAACAAATTTACAAACATCTCTCTTGCAAATATTAACAAAAAAATTAAATAAATTAGTAAAAAAAAATACTATTTATTGTACAAACTCATACTCTAAAAACGATACCGCCTCCGCGCCACAGTCTATCGTGAACTGCAAATAACAAACTGACGCCTATGACTCTGTGATCTGCAAATAGCAAATGACGCCTAAGACTCCGTGAACTACAAATAGCAAACTGAATATTATAATTTGTATTATTGAATTACAAACAACAAAATTCCAATGATTCACCAAGAAAACAGCAAACTGGAAAAAAAAAATCATGAATTTGCATTATTGAGTTGCAAAAAAAAGATTACCTATGACTTTTTTCACATACAAACATCAAACTGAAGAAAAAATTCAAAATGAGAAACAATATGTAACATGAAATTACAAAATGTAAAACGAAAACAACTCAAGAAAAAAAAACCGAGTTACTCACCCCAAATCCCTTGCCGCCAGTTCTAACTCCGTCACAAATCCTAGAGCCGCCGCCGTAATGAACTCAATCAATTGAGTGCAACCAATCAAAGCCCTCGACGAGGATGGTAGGGACCGAGACAGGTGGATTGCGGCCACTGGTAAAGAGGTGCATCTAAATCTCGTGGATCGATTGCCGTAGAACCACCACCCAAGATCGGGGCGAGAATCTCCCGAATTGCCTTCCATCGTAACAACTGGAGAAGTAGAAATTAAATACGAACAATAAACAAGGTCTCCAAAATAGCAAACAAATTTTCCAAACAAAGAACAAGGAACATGTCCCACAACCAAAAAACAAACGAAAAATATTTATTTATAGTTTGTTGAAGGTTCTAGCTATGGCAGAATTCAAAAGGAAAGAAAAAAATCGGAATCGAGAAAGGGAAGAGAGTAAGAAATTGATCAGAATTTCTTTTGGAAAAGATGCTTATTGGAAAGAAAACATAAAGGAAGAGAGACACGATGGAGAGGGACGAGATAGAGAGGGAGAGATAGATGGGAGATTAGATATAGGGAGAGAAAGCGACGTAAGATTGGAGAGAGAGAGATATGGGATTTACTTTCTTTTTAATTAAGGGTGTTTATGTCAATGTACTAATTATTTTATTTTATTTATATTTTTTTTTGTCAAGGGACCTAGACCTATATTCATCTAACACTTAGGATCTCCACCTATACAAGTCCAGAGTAAGGAGTGTCTAGCCAATTTCCCCTTAATTAAACATGTGCTTAACAGTAACTAATTACCCACTTGAGCTAATAATAACCGCTCACTAACTATAAATAATAAATTCTATAATAATAGTAAATTCGGAAATAATAAAAATTAATATAAGAAAGTCAAAACAATTAAATTATATTTCACTCACAGTTTACTCCATATTTTAAATAGGGTATATAGCATTAAACCGCCTGAACTTTGCACATTTTTGCAGCCACCGCCACTTTCCTCCCCTTCCATCTCTCATCTACTCACAACCATCATCACCAACACAAACATCAACTACTAAATCATCAACAGAAAAATGAACTGACAAATTGATGGAATTTAGGCATTCAAAGAAAGAGACAATCTGATTCGCGATCGTCGTCGGAGAATTATAGAAAACCCATTTCATATTTGGGTGGGTGGAGGTGGAGATGGTGGTGGTGCGGCGGAGGAGTGCTGGATAATGAGTTTTGTTGGGTGGGGTGGGGCTGCTACAGAAAGAAGATGACTGTGCAACTGTATCATTTTTATTTTATTTTATTTTTAATCTTGTCTGGTCTGTAAACCAATTTTTTAAAGGAAAAAAAAAACTGTTTGAGCAAATATTGTATATACATACTTACATTACAGCAATGGAGAAATATAATATATTATTTTGGAACAATCCAAACTTCCAGTTACTTATGTTAATCACAATTAATGACCAATGCACAGGTGCGGAATGTGTTGTATGTTGTGCCAATCCTCCCCAATTTCTCTCTCACATCTCCTTTCCAATTCCGAGCATTCCATCACTAAAATGAATTGGAGATTTGTCATTCCCCGGATTCTAGTTGGAAGTGATGTTACCTTTGGGCACTCTGAAATAGTCAACTCTTCAAGAGATGTGAAATCTCCCAACCATTCCGGCAGTGAACTCATCTGAGGAAGGTCGTTTAGGCTTAGAAGTTGGAGTGAGGATGAGAGGTGTTGCAAGGCCTTGGGTAGATACACCATCTTTGGAAGACTTTTGAGCTCGACTTTTGTAAGGAATTTGAGGTATCTAACCTCATCAGGCAGCTCAACAACTCCGTCACATTGAAATATGTCTAGTTCCTCCAGAGCAGTGAGGTGTCGCAGCCACCCTTGAGGCAAACACCCCATCAGTTTCCGACAATAGTTTATCGACAAACTTGTAAGAGATTTCAAGGCTCGCATCCCATCTTCTGGCAGAGACCGCTCATCTGCTTCCCAAATCTCCAATTTCTTGAGATTGGCGAGGCTCTGCAGTGTCTCAACTGCAATACATTTGCACGTATTTGTGAAGTGCACGGTCAGATCAGTAAGAGTTTCCAGCTTAGACAATGAAGCCAGATTTAAGCTACCACATTTCAAATTTTTCAACTTTTTGAGAGATGTTGAGAGTGGTGGTAGTGCTAATGATGAGAACCATCCAATATCTAGCTCCTCGAGATTTGGAAATGCTTCAGTTGATCTCATCACTTGCTCTTTTGACAACCCTTTGAAATTCGGAAGCCCCCATAAGTACAAGCTTTCCAGAGATGGGAACTGTTGTACGCTTATTAATGTATTTCTTTGAACTACTTCTTCCTCAATCTCAATAATGTACTCCACCTTCACATTGCTTAACAACAATGTTTTAAGAAGAGGTAGCTCTCCCAGTCGCGGAAGATGCATAAAACTCTCACAGAATGATATATCAATTCGAACTACTTTCTTCATAGTTGAATTCGACATCCAAATCGGAAAACACCTACCCCTGAATCCCTTAATTAATAGAGTTTCAAGATTTGGGTAAGGTTCAAGTGCTTCCAACACCTCTTCATCTATATTCTCTTGATTTGAATACAATTCCCAGTATAACTTCAAATGACGAAGATTTTTTTTCTCAGCAAGATTTGCTTTCTTTGCATCCATTGTGCTTTCCACTCTCTGCAGATGATGAAGTTCAAGCTTGCCACCAAGGTTCAAATACTGCAATTCCTCAAGTCTATTACCTCTATCCCGGCCCACAATGAACCGACTCAATGTTTTTAGGCAAGTAAGTTCTCCAACTTTAGATGGCATCTCCGTTAATGATTGACAATTTTCCAAATATAGATGACGAAGATTAATTAAGTCCCTCATCTTCTTTGGTAAAGCCTCAAGCTTATTGCACTCATCCAAATTCAAAACATGTAAATTCCAGAGACAACATAATGAGTCGGGCAAGGTACGAATTTCAGTTCCGGACAAATTCAAGTGTCTCAAATGTTTCAAATGGCTTATTGCAGAAGACAATTCATTTTTCCCTGTCATACTTGCATCTAATATCCTCAAACGTAAAAAGTTATTTAAAATGAAAGACATGTCCATCTCACGTTGATTACTCGTAGGAAACGCAATTAACTTTTTTCTGAGATTTACCTGGCGGATTTTGCTATTGGATGCACTTGTTACTTTCCTTTGGACTTGCACTCCGGGTATTTTGTTCTCCATAATTGATTCGGCGAGATCATGAACAAGATCGTGCATAATCAAAATAGTTTTGTTTGTATCCGGAACGTATTGCAAGAGAGATCTCAAAACGAGCTCATCGCATACTTGATTGCCAACATCCTCCACTTCCAATGCTCCCTTTGACGAAATATATCCATGCGCCATCCACATAAAGATCAATTCTTCTTTCTTGATACGAGAATCCTTGGGAAGGACTGCACAATAGGCAAAACACTGTCTCAGTGGTAAAGAAAGATGGTGATAACTCAATCTCAAGGTTGGCAGTTACAGAGTTTCTTCTTCAGGTAATTCCCATATTTCGCTTTCTTTCACACAAATCCATTCCGTCTCTTCCCTCTTGTACCGCAACAGACCTCCAAGAGCCTTAGCCACCATAGGAACACCATCACACTTATTTACTATCTGCTTCCCGATGGCTTCCAGGTTTGGATATTCTTCTTTCTCTTGTCCGAATGCATGTTCTCGCAACAACATCCAACATTGCTCATCTGAAAATTGTGTTAACTGATGTGCTGGAAGTGTTCCCATTATATCCGCAACCTCTTTTAGGCGTGTGGTGACGATAATCGAACTTCCAGTTGATCCACATGCCAGGACCTTTCTTAAGTCAGACCACTTCTCTCGATCTTTGTTCCAAACATCATCCAATACAAGCAAGTACCTTTTGTTGTTCATCAACTTCCACATGTGGCGTTGTAAAGTATCCAAGTTATCTAGATCTGAAGCATTTGTAGTCCCAGATTCAATCATGGCCTTCAACAAAGTCTTGAGATCGAAATTGTCGGACACAGAAAGCCAAATTCTTTTGTCGAAACTATCAACGACCTGTTGATCGTTGTAGACTAATTGAGCAAGGGTTGTCTTGCCTTGGCCTCCAACACCAATTATGGGCAGGACGGAGATTTCTTGATTGTCCTTGACTTGGGTCACCAATATATCCACAATCTTCTTTGCATCTGCATCTCTACCATAAATCTCATGAGACTCGGTCAAAATAGAACCAGTCTCACGTATGGTACTCGTGGCCGCATCGATTGGCCTCTCTATAGTCATCTCTTGCAAACTGAACATTTTGCGCTCCGCATTAACCTCACCAATGTTTTTAGTGACTTGCTTCATCCTTCTACCAATTTGGTGTCGAAACTTGATTCGGTTGAAGCCATCCAATGTGCAGTTTCTGTGCATCGGTTTCGACAATTTTGTTATATACTCATCCAATATGTCATCAATCTCGTAGGCGATGTCGTTGAGCTTGACCAGCCACTCTCGTATGGCTCTGTTCTTAAGTTGCTTCATTTCAGCATCTTCAAGCACAACTTGAATGGTGGCGAGTGTCCTGGAGAGCTTCTTCATCTCCTTGGCCATGCCCGTAATCGACACAAACTTGTCATGGATCAATGAGCTCAATTTTTCAAGAATTATTTGAAGGAACGACTCTGCCATTTCTTAACAAATCAATATAATATTCGAATCAACTCTGATGAATTATTTTGCTTTTACGCTAATATTCAGATCAACTTTGAAAAATATGAGAAAGATAGATAAATGCATCTTTTCAAGAAAGATAGTTGTCAACGCAATTCAAGTGGATACTTATTAAATTGATTCTTCATTTAAAAATAAATAAATTGTGTTGCTTGAATAACAAATTATAAGGATTAGTTATGGATATTTGGACGCGTTCAAGTACTAATTGCAAGAAAGTCTTCTTGGCTCTATGAAAGAGATAGAAAGTAGACTCTGCTGCCTTCGTACGATAACCCTGGACTCGTTCAAGGCGGAAACACGTCCCTTGTGTATACGCGCATTATTTTTTTGGTGAGCTCGATCAGACAACCATGAACATTTTTTATTTTTCAACTTGTCCAATAATAAAAGGGTTGTTAGTATTTGGTCAAGTTTGTATAATTTTTCATAAATTCAATTTGGTCACTTAGTTTTTTGTGATAATTGCAAATACCACCTATGTGTAATACCTAATTGTCAAATATCCTTTGTCACAAAAAAAAAATAAAAAAAAATCACTCATACCTTCCTGTATAATATTTTTCGAAGCACGCTGAAACCATTGGAAGTTTAATTGTTGACCAAGGACCAAAGAACAAAAATGTCCTAAGGTTTTTTCGCAATTAATAAACATACAAGTGGTTAACATTTTTTTAATAAATTTAATGTTTTAAACAAATAAAATATATAATAATAATAATAATAATAATAATAATAATAATAATAATAATAATAATAATAATAATAATAATAATAATAATAATAATTGAAGGAAAAAAATAAAATAAAATAGTCGTCTTCTTCCCAATTAACCCCACAACCCGCAATTAACTCCAGTTTTTTTGTAGAAACCTCCTGGGTTGTTTTTGTCCTTTGACGACCAGTGAACAAGAAAAAGTTAAATAGCTAGAGTGTATGGGCTTATAAGATCCTACAAGACGGTATTTGCTAAAAATAAAAAGCACAGTTAAGATTTTAACAGGGGTAGTAACTGTAGAAATTGTTTGAAAGTTTGCACAATTTTTACATTTCTAGCCTCCAAAATAATCTATACTATTTATAAAAGTGTGAATAAGTTGGAGGTTTCTTCCTTTTTTTGTTCTTACAAAATTACCCCCGCAAAATAATTAATACAAATCACATTCCAAAGTCAATTAAGTAACATCATTAAATATAGTAATGTGAATAATGACGTTCATTGTATTTAGACCTCATTAAAAAGTAGCAACATTAATAATATTTTTTTCTTTCATAACGTAAGAATAGACTACATTAAAATAAGGGGAAATATGCAATACACCCTTCATTTAGAAAATATTTGGAACTAAACCCAATTGACTTTAAAAACTTTTCCCATAACCCAAATCCCAATCTAATTTAGTGAGACCCCCCTTACCATCCATGATAAGACTCAAGTGCCCATATGTTTTAGGTTTTTAAGTAATACAATTTTATTTATCTCTTTTATTCTCTCGCTTATTTCATTCTCTCGCCGCTTTCTCTCTCTCTCTCTCTTTCATTCTCTCGCCTCTTTCTCTCGTTCACAGTTCTTTCTTCTTCTTTTTTTTTTTTTTCTCTTCTCGTTCTTCTTCAGATGTATAAACCGCCGCCGTCGGAGCCAACAAAACCTTTCAAACGCCACCGGCCGAAACCCGTTGCAGGAGGCCCTCCTCCGCCGATGTTGGAGATCGTCTTCCCCCTCGTCCAACACTACCACAGCGCCCGGTACAATTGGCGGCGACGTCTCCCCCACCTTGTTGCCACCTCCATTGGGTGCGTGTTTCTACATGGAGACTCTCCTTCTCTCAACGCGGAATACCAATATATACTATATTAATTGGTATTTTTTTTTTATTGTGTGAGAATAGATCTATTGTCGCCGTTCAACCCTTCTGTGTTCGTTGCCGGAGTTAAGCTTTGTTTGAAGGTCAGAGGCTCTGCTTTAATTTTGTTGGTTTCGTAATTGGGGATGGGTTGTAGTGTGTGAATTCACATATGTGCATATGGGTATTTAGAACTGAATTTTTATTTTTTCCTTTTGGGTCGTCCAACTTGGATGTAAAAGATTGTTGCTGATTGAAAATTTTATATCGATTTACAGAGTCACGTTGTGACTACTAAGTCGGTGATTGATTTAGTTAACCTTTAAACATAAATATGTATTTACGTTTGAAGAACACGAACTGAAAAGTTAGCCTCAAAGGGTTGTTTAAATTTTTTAATATTCACTTCATGGAACAACTTTTATCTCGACTATTTTAATTTAGAAGTGCTGCGGTTTCCATTCTTCTCGATGAATATTTGAACAAATTAATCCGCTTTTAACTTGCAGGGAGTGTTGAGAATGAAAATTATACCAGAATAGGTGGATAATGCGTGATTTCTGGGCTACTGAATATTTAATTTGATTTAGATTTTAAATTGATTGTGTGACTGATGTGTAAATCTTTTGTTCTTTTTGCGTTAGTTGATATGTGTTAACCTCAAATTTAAATGTCTGCAAAATAAATTACAAGACAAGAAAAAATAGGAAAAAATAAATATAATTTAATCAAAACGAAAATGGGTTACAATCTTTGTTGATTCCTCTGATTCTTCTCCTAGATTTAATCCAAGGGCCGAAGCTTGTTCTTGGATTGAGAGCTTGATTCCACCGTTGATTTCCGGCAGTAGATATGAATATCTAGAAATCGATTTGGGGATTTCTAGGTCTTGTCGATATGGCGCCTCGATGAAGATGCTGAACCTCCACGGTTGTTGTTCTTCGTCGTGGCAAGAGCTCGAGACTTGAGAGATTTTGAGTGCTTGATGTACGCCTTGCTTGATGCTTGTGTCCTTGTCCTTTCCTATATGCTTGAGACCTACTTTTATAGACTCGGTTTTAGGGTTTCTTGATTTGAAACTTGGACCGGTGGGCTTGGACATTTGCAAATTCATGTGGGCTAACTTTTATAAGCCCGGATGACTAACCCGAATAAATAAGAATTTGTGCTTATATTGGGTTAACTCACATAACACATTTGTGAAGCCCAAATATAGTGTGGACTTCGATATAAAGCCCAAATTCAGCATGGGCTTTGATTTGAGATCCAAATTAGTAACCGATTTATTTAGGTTATTAATTTGTAATTTAGTCTCAAAAATTTGATATGAGCCCAAAATTTTTTATAGACTTTTAATCGAGATCCGAATTAATAACCAATTTATTTAAGGCTACTAATTCGTAATTTAATCTCAATTTTGATGTCAACAAATGCCCCCACTTCAAGACTCGACGGAGAACAAGTCGAATACTTGTGGAAACGAGACTTGAAGTCTTTGTAAATATGGGCCTCCCTTTTTTTTTTTTTTTTTTGTTGAAGACACTGAAGAAGCCCATTTTTCTGTTCATGTGAAGGGTCCCCACGAGATTACCTTCCGGACCGTCATCCCAATTCGTGGTTGACAAACACTGGGATAAGTAAGAAATAAATCCTTTTTTTTTTTTTTTTTTTTTAGTTAAGATCTTGTTATTGAAAACATGAACCCGAAGTTTTCTTCTGAGGAGGATTTCTTTGCTTAGAGATATTAATTAAAATAATATCACCTCTGAAAACTTCCTTAGTAGATAATGATTAAAACATCCAATTAGGCAGTACAATATAGGCCCGTCTTGTACCTCAACTAAAGATATTTTTTTTTCCATGTTTATGATTAGGAAATAACCATAATAATCATCCCCAGCTTAGGTATTCCTTTTCCTCGTTTTCATCATCGGCAAGTCACTCAATTATAAAAGGGGCATAAGCTACGACCCTTATTCTTCATTCACGTAATATACAGGCTGTAGCAAAACTAGTTATCCCAATTTGCTCCTCTTCTTTCTTATTGCGTTTTGCTAGGTCACCGTAAGTTTTTTTTTCTTTTCACAGACAATTGCCTCGTGGAATAACGCACACAATGTGCTCGTGAATTTGACTCAACGAAAAACCTATTTTATATATCTGAACTTACAATCAATTCTCTTTTAGCATGATTGGTTTGACATCTTCAAACTAGTTCCGCCTCATTATTCTTCCTCCTGCTTTTGGCTGATCTCTCTCTCTTTTTTTTTTTTTTTTAAGGAAGCCCGTGGCGATGTACATCGAAGATTGTAACGAACCTTTCCCATGCATCGTCATTCGCAATGACAAGGACAACTTCAAAGTCAAAGGTACAACCTTGCGCGTTCATGAACCGGCTTCAAACAGTTTATCTTCCCACTTACGATCTATCGAAAAATCCATGCACCTCTCCAATTGGTCCGAGGAGGCTACTAGGGAAACAATTGACTCTCGTTCCGGCTCTTCTTCCCGCTCACGAGTCTTGCTGCTGAGGTCCTCGCTTCACGACGAAAAAGCTAAACCTTGGATTTTATACTCCCACATCGTCATTTCTCATTCAAGGGAGGCTCGTGGAAGATCCCACCGTCCAACTTCGGAGAGGTGTCCTTTCATGTCGGCTATTGGGAGTGGACGGAAGACGTGCTAGGCCATTATGAGGATACCCTTCGCCAAGCCAAAATATATGCTGCCGTTCATGCCTCGCTAGTCACGTACGTCTGCAACAAAAAGGTTCTTCGAGCTTTCCTTGAACTATGGTGCCCTTCCACGAACACGTTGCACACGGCCAATGGAGAATTATCGATCTCCCTATGGGACATACGCGGACTATGCGGGCTGCCTATTCATGGAGACTTCTACGACGAAGTGGTACCTTCAGCGAAAGAGCTCCTCAATCATGACTCTCGTGGAACTTCCTTACCTCGTAGTTGCAAGTACTTAATCATGGCGTACCACAGACTTTCAAAGGATTCTAGTGGCGTACTACTCTCCGATTGGATTGACTTTTGGTTTAAAGGGCCGACCAGATATAGCGAGCCTCCTTTAAGGTTATCAAGAAAGAGGACTTCTAGGCCAAAACTTTCTCGCAATCCTTGTGGAAAGGTCGATGCGTCAAAGTTATCTCGCCCCAAGGAATACGACATACCGTTTGCAATGCTCAAAGTCGAAGAAGATATTAAAGAAGAAACTTACTTGGCCGCGTTCATTGCATGTTGGCTTTGTAGTTTTGCTCTCCCTCACGGATCAATTGATAAGATACGCGCCTCTGTTTTCAAGGTTTCAAGTCGAATGGCTAGAGGAGAATATTTTTCGTTGGCAGTTCATGTACTAGCAAGCATCTACCGTGGCTTAAGGGGAATATCTACATCAGAAAATTTAGGCGAGTCTCCTATTATCTTTCCCATTCACTATCTCTATGCATGGATAGGACATACTCTCGAGACTCACTTTCATTCCAAACTCGAGGTAATCGGCGCTCATATGGTGAAATATGCGGGAGAGAACATGGCTAAACATTTTGATCTCGATGAGGCACGCGACTTGTTTCATAATATCAATATGTCAAAGCTCCGAGACTTGTGGTATTCCAAGCAAGAAATTTTAGTCACGGACGATGCCAAACTCTCCAGCAAATGCAAAGATATTCTTGTGGCCTTGCGATCC